GTAGAGACATAAAACCCCCAGCTATCAATGTAAAGACAGGATTTATGTAGTTTGGAGTGGATTTTGTGGCAGAAATACATATTTTCAAGCAATGTAAAAGCATGAAACTGGTACCCCTCAGTCTGATATCACACAAGGAACAATTAATAATATTCAGTATCTCATCCTCCCCTTAAGGGTCTAAATGACATTTGTAAACTACCGGACACAGTCTTGCTTCTAAATCTAGCCATTGCTGCCTCTTTTATCGGAAAGGGGCAAGGCCACACCACCACTCATTTATATTTCATTAATTATGCTATTATTAGGTGAATGTAACCCAAATTCTCTGTTTATTAATGGATGTTACCTTGATAGAATTAACTTTTAGGTACTGTGATGACATTCATACTGCAAACTGGTGAACATTTTTTAAAGTGTACCGACCTAAACGCCCTCACACATACACACACACACAGGCATAAAATTACGTATTTTTTTCTTTTTTTCTTTTTTTCTAAACATGCATTTACATTTTAAGAGGCACTTAAACCCATACAACTATGTACCTGAGTGACATTGAAACAATTTACTTAAGTGACAAACTTTTTCTAGTTACACTTCCCGGCCACCTGAGGACACTAACTCCAGACTGCATAGCAGAAGAACAACAGCCTGCAAATAAATACACAGCTTGGCACTTATATCCCCCATCTCAAACAGACAAAAGTGTGTGTGTGTGTGTGTGTGTGTGTGTGTGTGTGTGTGTGTGCGCTCATGTTTTTATGTATGATCCTCTGAAAGACATTTCACACACTAATTTCAGTAGGCAGATCTCCTCCTGTGGCTGTCATTGCGTGCCAGATGACAAAAGCAGCTAACTGTGTGATCAGAGACTAGAGTGGAGCCAGGGGAGCAGAGGGTAATTTGATAGGGATGGGTGTTACTGATTGACAGCAGAGAACTTCTCTAGATTGCTTATCAGGCCACTGAGTGATGGAATGAACAATAATGAAACATGACACAGGGCGGGCACAAATTGGCATCTATTGGTGCTTATGGCAAGGATGAGAATATTGGAATCTCTTTCTACCTGTGAATGTGTGTTTCCACACTGGTGCATGGACACACACAGAACACAGTCATTAAGAATGGTACTTTTCTTTATCTGCAAAAGTAACTGTGCAAGTTCTCATCCAGCAGCAGCCCAGCAGTCCAGGGAGCACTGATGCATACTGAGTCTCAAATCAGCTGAGCCCTGGTGAATACAAAGCATGCAGTGGAAGAGTCATCCTGTAATGCTGCAGACAACTCCTACACGTTAATGACATCACCAGATGTAATCACACTGCTGTGTTACAGGAATAAACTCCTGAGTTCAGTAACTAGCTATTACGGTAATTTTGTGCAGTCTTGTAATGAAGATGGTGGCATGTTTGTGCCAAAGTAGGTTAGGTTTTAGGTGATTATCACAGTGATATATCCTGATAGATCTTGGAAAAGCTCATCATGTACCAGCCTGGCTTTAGTGTGTGCCCTCTGTATGGTTCTAGTGGGTGGAAGCATAATTATCTCAATATTCTGCCTGACTGAAAGTACACTAAATACTTTATTGACATCATGTGTAGGGGTGCAGATGAACACCCACATGCAATAGATACCAATTAAAGATATTCAAAGCATATAGGGTGAGTCAGAGTCAGTCTGTGATGTGTCTGCAATACGGAGATAGTTAAGAGACACAACACTTGGCTTAAAAAACTTGTGAAATTTTCACGCCTATTGCTATATTTCTGTGATGTTATTGTAAATCATCAATTCCATTAGGATGGGGCAGTTGTGTGTGATGGAGGGCTGAGAGTATGCGGCAGCTTCTCACCATTCCTCCTCACCATCAGTGCCAACCCTTTCTTCCCACAAAGTAAAGACAAGAAGATGAATAAAGTGGAAGAGACGTGCATACTTATGTTTGTTACACCAAAGAGGAATTTTGATGTTGATGAAGTGGCCCTGTCATAAGTGATGTAGCCCACATTTACATTACACCTTGTAGCCATGAAAGCTGCAGGAGTACACACCCAGGAAATGTTCCTATTTCATCCAAAATGCCAGCCTTACTATACGACCTTCATAGTGAATTATTATTAAAGCTACAAAAATGAATATGTTTATATTAACAAATAGATCACATTGTTATGTGTATGTGAACATGGTCGCTCATTGTGATTTATCACCTGACCTTGTGGTTTACCTCATCTCTCTTTTAGCTCATTGTTTTGGTTTTCTGCTCCACAGGCTGTTCTTATCAACCTTGTTTTCAACAGCAGCAGCAGCAGCAAGGTCTGAACCCACTGTGTACTATTTGCCCAGCACCAATTAGCAGAACGTCAAAGTACGCAACTAGCTGGAGATCATAGTTGAGAATTTAGCAGCTGAGGGGCCAGATATTTACCTCAGGGCTTGGCAGAGATCAAAACAGAGCTAAAAGGAGAGTGAACATTGGACTTACATTCATCAAGTGGGCAGAGACATGACTCCAAATGAATGCTAATGCTGATCCGCATCTGTTGGATGTGTAAATAGGCACATGATTGCTAACACATTCCACATAACTACTTTATGAGATAATAATATGTCAATACTGTGTTTTCACTGTGTTCCACTGCCCCAAAGGGGCCATGAAATTAATCAATTCAGCTATAATAAAGGAACCAAAGAGCTTAACAACAGCTAAAAATAGGGAAAAAAAGCGAGACCCATCAAACATACTGTGATTTATTATCCTCTGATAATTACATTTTGTCAATGTTTTGTTAATTGTGTTTTGTCAGTGGCATTATATGTTGTGTATAGTCCCATTGAGACCCCCTGCTTTGAAATGGAAAAAGCTCCCTGGGGAGGAAACACCTGTGCCTCATCCAAAGGACACTTCAGGAGCAGAATCGGTTTTCATGTCACAGAGGGAAATTGGAATGATTTTTGGAATTTTAGGGCTCATCCCAGGAGATTTCACTGATTAACATACCTTCATCCAGGGAGGGGGAACTAATCAGAAAATTACCTTGGATGAATATCAAATCCATTAACGCCTGGTCAATACTTGTAGGCGCCTACAATGGAGAAAATCCTTGCCCAGGTGTCTTGGAAATAAGTATCTTCTCATTAAATGGGCAAAGAGAGATTTGAGATGCACTGAATGCTTGATGTCGGGAGCACAATCAAGTGTGTGCAGCTCTTCATTTCCCAATCTGTTTAAACTGGCTCAGTAATACACCACAGCGATACAGAGAGGATGCATACTCACAGAGAAACACAAGGCTTACCATTCAGTCAAGTTAGATTAATTCTATTATGCATTCTATTGGCAGCTAAAACACGTTTGGTTTCGTATCGTCTCGGCTCTACAGCTTCTTGCTCTTTGATATTTGAGATTAGTCAACTGTCCATGAGTCTGTTATCTGTGTGGCCCTAGTCTTCTTATAGCCTCTACTTTAGACAAGCTACAATTTATCTGCCTTGGCTTGATGACCTGCCCTGTCTGAAGCAGCCAGGCCACAGAGAGGGGTGTTAGTAGTGGAACTCAAACAAAAGGGTGGTCTGAATATACAATGAGCTTAAACATAAGATCCTTTGACCTTATGGGGTTAAAAGTCAAGCTGGGAGCTGAGAAAGTCATAGCTTCAAGCAAATCACTGCAAATTATAGGAAACAGTGGGTATACTGATACATTTTATATAAAATAATAAACCTTTCATGATTTGACACACTATGCTTTAAATGGCAAAGCTAATCTAATAAATGCACAACTACATGGTTATTCTTCAATAATTAGTTATAGTTATATATAGTAAGTTATATTCAAAATAAAATAACCCCCATATCCTTGTGTCCCAATTGCACACTACGCATTGATACTAGGAAAAAGTATTTACTTATAATCACCTTTCTAATTTATTGTGTTGGCAGTAAATAAAGGGGCATTGACGAGGATTTAATAAAATACAGCAATAACATTTCTATGATTCTATGAAAAGTATTACAAATAGTGGGCTATATAGCCTACTATAAAGTATAGAAAGTATACTCAAGGTAAACGAGCTCTGGAAAAGGTGGTTGCCTAAGTGGTGGTAAAACCATTCAGAAAAGAAAGCAAACAGTAAGAGGACCTTGAATTGGGATTGTTTATTCAAACTACTATTCTCAAGGTCAAGAATTAACTTCAGAGCTTCAGTGCTTGTATTTGGATCAGCATTATTTCTGGACCACTTATTAATGGTATGTGCAATCAATTTGGCCTTGCACCTTGCCACATGCTAAGTAGAGTCAAGGGCGAGTCAGGAGGCTGCAGGAGGACCAGTGTTGAATTTCTATAAGGCGATACTACAAAAGAATAAATATTTTAAAAAAAACACTTAAATGTATTAATATGTAGGCCTATAAGCAGTGGTGTAGTGATGATTTTTAAGTCTGCATTGGGTTTACCCACTTTTGCTATGCTCATCATTCTGTAGTGCCAGCTGATTTTTATTTCCCAGGATGGTGGAGGCAATGACATCCAATTTTACTTCACTCAAAATGCATAATTACTGTATGTAGTTGTGTCTCCCTTTAGTCTGTGGGCATGTAATGATTCTTCTGTGGCTAATGTTAATTTCATACTGGTCCTTACTGCCTGAAGTCAAGCAGCAGGAGTAAATTAGTGACTATTGGCCCGTTTTAGGGTGAATAAATTAAGAGTATACTCACTTCTCTGGGTACCACTACACCAGTGCTTATAACAGCGACTTAAAACAACACAAATAAACACATGCTATAACTTTTAATCGTCGTACACATCAGCAAGATGATATGTGACTTCCGGCAACCATCTTTGTTTGGATTAGGAGGCGCAATTTGGAAAATTAAAAAAACAAAAAAAACAAAAACGTTTCTTATAAGTTAGTGTTGTTATAGTGCAGCAGTCTGGCTGTATACCCCCATCGATAAGGATCATAGAAACATCTTTAAAACTGCGGTAAGTGTTGTGAAACGACCTTGTCGGTTCACCGGAGACCGGAACAGATGCGGTAACGTTGGTTACCCTGTGAAGGACGGCTGCTAGGTAACGCTAGCTAACAGGTTGTAGCTAACAGGGTCGGAGCAGCCAGGAGAGCACCGTGAGACAGCTGAACGGATGTTTTTATATTCGGACCAAAGGTAATTTAGTTGTTTTCAAGCCTGTTTTTTGTTCCGTAGCTGTTCAGGGCAAAATGCGCCATGGGCCGTTGTGTTTGTTTTGAACATGGCAAGTAGGCTAGCTAATAAAACGGACAAAAACATGCTAAAACGTTAGCTGTTAGCACAAAACCATGCTTTAGGCAGCTAATTAGACATGTCACCATAACCATAGTGTCATCTTGTTATTTGACTTGTCCGGTTTATTGATTACACCACGTGGCTTTTGTGTCTTTGGGTAATCGCTCATCTAAGGTTAACTTCACAGCTGCGTGTTACACAGGTTATATCAAACTTTAAATATTGTTTATTATCAGTTGTAAATGGCTGCTATATGCCTGCAAATACAGGTCAGGCTCTTGGAGGCCATAAAATACTACCTTGGCGCCTTTCTCTTATAGTCTTGTCTGCTTTGCAGTATTTACAAGTGTTGGTTATGCAGGGGAAAACTGACCGTGCATCTAGTCTTGTTGCTGACAATGCTGGTTGATGTTTAAACTATAATTCTTTGTTTTTCACCCTCCAGTGAGAACAGAAATTCATGTCTGTGTAGGCAGTACTTTGTTAAGTTGAAATGCTGTGTAAGACTGTAGCAGGACATAGATCCAGTTTTAGACAAGGCTGAATAAATACTTAAAAATAGCAAAAGGCAATAAAAAGCCAAATAGATTAACTGTAGGAGGGTTTTGCTTTCCTTTCTGTTGACATGTTACATTAACAGTAACAAAAGCAAATAGTCATCTGGGATTTCTTTCTCAACACTTATGATGTTAAAGTCAGTTTAGTATTTTAGGGGTCAGATGTTTAATCCATGATATTCAATAAATGCAATACTGTACAATGATGACAATAATAATAATAATAATAATAATGATGATGATGGTGAAGGCATTTATTAAAATATTACACAACATAGCCTAATTTTTAAAAATATACTGAGCATAATCATTTTGATATATGTGGTCTTTTCTTATTTTTATAGGTCAGGTGCCACACCTGCTAAATGATTGAAAGACTGCTGTGGGAAGAGGTAGGGACCAACAGTTGGTTGACAGACAGACCAGTATCAGCATACCTTATATGTTCCAATCTGTTATCGGTCGTCTGTGGCCTACATCTTCACCTTCACTTCAGGCTTGCAATGTTCTTTACTCCAGGCACACAGAGATGTGACAGATCAGTTGCACAGCTATGACTGATTACCTTTTGTTATCTGCTTGCTTTTTGATATGGTTTTACGAAAAAATACCAATCATATTGTTTTACTTTGTACAAGAGTCACGACTAATACCAATATCATGTCCGAGATTACACTTGTTTGTGTATTTCTTTGCTGAATCAGAGAATTCAACGCTCTTAAGAGAATTTTTTCGCTTGCTTTTAAGAGTCCTTTACCCATCTGTGGGGCCTTCACACTTTATACATATTTGCTTAACAAGTGCCAGAGTTCTAGCCCGTAAAATTCAGGTCAGCATATAAAATAAAACTGTGGTGCCTTTTTTGTTGACGTTTGAGGTACATTTCCTTAAAGTGTTATGTGCTTTATAGTGTTTGAATCCGAAAACTCATGAGATTTCCTTAGGTAGGATTTTACATGAGGGCTGCAGTGATGCCTCAATTAATCAGTTTGTAACTACTGAATGAGTTGCCAATTATTTTATACTTTTTTTTTTTTTTGAATGTCCAAATTCTTTGATTTCAGCTTCTCAAATGTGAATATTTTTTGGTTTGTTTAGTTCTCTATGACAGTAAACTGATTATCTTTTGGTTGTAATAAGACATTGGAGGACATCAGCATGGGCTTTGTGAAACAGTGATCAACATCTTTCACCATTTTCTAACATTTAATGTAGGGGTGCTCTGATCAGGGCTTTTGAGAACGATCACTAGAAGAAGTATCAGCCAATACCGATCACCAATCACTAAGTCTATTTAAAGCCTTACTGTACGCACACACCTACACCTTTCTCTCACACACTCTGCTCCCCTCTCCATACACAAGGCTGTATATGTCTGCTCTGTTACTTTGTTGGTCAGCAGTAAGTTTTATAAAATCACCCAAGAAACACAACTCACGTTTTGAATGTTTTTACCTGCTTTTTCACAGCAGCAGGTGAGCCGCGTATTAACAAAGAGGCTTGTTAATGACATTGACTATCAAAAACAATACTGTTGCTTTACTTGCTCCGGGCTTGTAAAACATCCATCAGATAACATCTTCTCTGCAAAATACTAAAACAAGTCCCTGGCCGTTAATATACCGATGGCCCGCCCAAGTAAATCTGTGTGTGTGTGTCAAAGACTGCATACCCTTCCTGCGGAATAAAATAAATGTGTCAGCTGATCGGCCCTTCTGATCCCCACTAATCAAACTAAGCAGAGCGAATAACCGCCGATTACAATCAGTGACTGATTAATCAGAGCGCCTTTCATTTTATGGGCCTAACAACTAACTGATTAATTGAGAAAATTATTGTCAGATTAATCAATAATAAAAAGAACTGTTAGTTGCAGTCCTAGTTTACAACCCTTCTACTGTAATTAACTGCCTTTGGGGCTTTTGCAGATTGAACATGTTTGCCTTCAGAGGTTCAGATGATTGTTGTCAAGTTTCTGACTTTGGGTGATGGTGACACAGCAAGTAGAGTGGGTGTTGAGTAATCGGTTCAGGTAGCGGTATTGCCCGGCTCCCCCTGTCCATATGAGAGAGAGAGAGAGACCTTAAGCAAGGCAGCGAAACCCAGTTTTGTGTGTGTGTGTGTGTGTGTGTGTGTGTGTGAGAATGAGTGAGAGGCAAATGTAACTACTGTATAAATGCAGTGCCATCTACCCTTTACTTTGGAAAGACACGTTGAGGATCACAAACACGTCACTGGTGACGCACTGCTCTCATATATTTTGGACAGACCTTGAGGTCAAGCTATCAATCATGGCCACCTCCTGAGCTGAATTAGACATGAGATTGATCATCTCATGATCATTTGAGTTACTAGATTTTGAAATTGCCTCACTCTTTAAATACGTTCTTTGCTGTGTGATATAGCATTTCAGCTCATATTATGTCTACTCTTATCATGATGGCCCACTTGACATAAACTGAATGTACACATTCACATTCAAACTGTAAAAATCATTCTTCTTTAACAGGCTTGGATGTTGCTCTCCCTGAGACAGTCCTGACAGCAAGCAGGGCAAATGTGACCTATTTCTTAAGTTGTAAAACAAGTAAATGAATGTAATCTCTGTCCGCATAGATCATGTGAAAGTAGTGCATTTTACAAATGTACAGTAATTAAAGCCAACAGGAAGAACATTGTAGGCTACATATGCCCTACAGATCATTGCTTAAAATCAATAATACATAAATTAATTTAATAATAGGATGACAGATTGCAGCTTAAATAAGACCACATCCAAAAAATATCTGCGACTGGGCATCATGTAGTGTGTGGCTCAATGTAGTCCACAAATCCTAGCATCAGGTGGTTGTCCAGATCAATACTCTCAATGAGTTTCTGAGTGATACCTTTGGTCCTGGGGGATGTTTCTCTCTGGTGCATGTTTCTCTTTGTTCTTCACAAATTAATCGTAATGATCGGGATGACAGCTCTTAAGATGGGTAATTTAATTTGTAGTGTTTGGGGATGCACGATTTGCCGATAATTTCCTGCTCATTTTGGCTGATTGTTGATGCCGATACATGCTCATATTTTTTTCAACCTAATTGCAGAGAACATCAAGTCTCTCTTATAGTGGAATTAAATGTGACCTATTTCACACGTTGCAAAACGTGTCATCTCTGTCCACCGGGGTCATGTGAAAGTAAGTGTATTCGACAACTGTACAGCAATTAAAGCCAACTGAAATGACAATGATTAACAGTGCAGGCCTGGAATTAAGTCATTTTTAGGGCAACCACTTGTTGGCCAAAATGTAGGGCAACAAGGCTAAAAACTACCCAACAGTATATACGTAGAAGTATAAAAATCAATTGTGTATCTATATAGATATAAAATGAGCAGAATCCTAAACATCTACAGTAAAGTAAAATGCAACATACACATCAATGCAGCAGTAATATTAATTAATAATAATAAAAAAATCATATATAATAGTTACACTAATAGGGAACATTTTACTACACAATGGCTACTTTATGCATACATAAAATAACCGTTAAGTAGGCTAAACACTTGTATATGATGTTTCATTTTAATGCCATTATTGACTGGTAACATGCCGGTGTCACGATCCCCAAGCAAATTTCATGTTCATACGATATATAGGGTGTCTAGTTAAAGCTTTATAGTCGCCTGCATTGTGGCTTAGGCATAGCACACTGGATTTGAAATAAGACACTGACCATTAGGTTTGGCTTTAAGGTTGTTCACATCCATATTGGGTGAACAGTGTAGGACTATAAGCCTATAAGCACAGTGATCTCAGTGTATCTTGCCCTAATCACCCTAAACCATGTCAGAAAAAATTAAGTTATTACCAAGGATCCACTATCATGGGACTATACTGTGATATCAACAGCATGTGAGAAGAAAAACTGTTTCTAATGAATTATTTAATGTTTTAATTATTAAGGAAAATGAGTGGGAGTGAAATATCTTAATGTGGATTGATAGATAGATATTCCTTTATTTGTCCCACAATGGGGAAATTCCAATGTTACAGCAGCAAAGTGGATAGAGAAAAAACAGTATAGAAAACGTAAGTAAAAGTAGGGAATAATAAAAACACTATGTACAAGAGAAAAAACAGTAAGAATCCACAACAACAGATAACACAAATAGTAGCAGCAGTTAATGCACATAATAATAATAATCATCTTCACCATCAAAACAGTCTTGTCTAGTGAACACTGTAGTCTGATTTAATCATGTACTGGTTGAGAGGAATATACTGTCGGTGACTGAGGCTTGGCCTCACATGGCTTGTCTTAGAGACCTTACAGTCCAGTGTCTCCTATTTGTCTCTGTGCCTTGCTGTCACACCTCCAACATTTTTTCACTCCTTCAGTTGTTTTGCCTTTTTCCTCTAGTAGTCTGGTTGTTCCCCCATTCCTCCTCTTCTAATACATATAATGCAATAATGCATGTTATTAGAATTTTGTGTCACGTAAAACTACATTTGGCTGAGAGGAATATGTACCAGTCAACCCTATAAAGGACACGCCTCTTTCACCCTTAACAATCACTAACAACCAGATATTTTAAAAGGCATCAACAGCAAAGAGTTCTATACACAGTGTACTATAAACACTACAAAGTACAAAGTAATAACTATAAATACTTATGTAATGTTATACTCTATTAAAATAAATTAAGTAAATGTTCAGTCTCCTTTCTGGTTGTTTTGACACATACAGAATTATTATCGCTTTTTCCATTAGCATTTAACAGGTGGCTGTTGAAATATATTTTATATATTTAAATAATTACATTGATATCATAAAAATGCGAGGACTAGTCGACAATTGGCTTTAACTAACGACTACTAGTTGCCTAGGAAAATCTTTAGTAAGGGACAGCCCTAAACAATACCTAACCCTGCTTGCTGCTGCACATTTTCCAAAGCACATTTTAAGTTCTCCCTCTTTCCAGGTTAACAGAACAGAATATAACTCAACTTGGATTCATAAGTTGAGCGGTTGTTTATTTATATAGCAATAGAAGCCGATGTGTCTTAAATCTGCATTCTGTGTAATGGCCAGCAGGTGGCAGCTCGATGTGCTGCAATATAATGGTTATGGTATAATTTAGAGTAAAATAGACGATACAGCAGGGTGTGCTTTTGATCATGGCTACCTTGTGATAAACCACTCTCTGTCCAGCGTGCTGCACGAAATTCAGATTAAACTGTCAAACAGTGCTGATCAAATATGAATCATGATTCTGTTACTGCATTGCCTATTTCTTACCTAAAATAATTTTAGTGTACTGTTTAGCTGTAATACCAGGCGAGCTGCCGTTGTTTTACTGCTGCACACAAGTCAATGTATGCAGCTCAACTCACAATACGTCACCTCTGCTGTCTCCAACAAACCATCATGGCAACAAGCATAATGCCAAACTCAAGGCTTCAGAACTGTTCTACACAAACCAATGGGAGATGTCACGATAGGTTCACACCTGGTTAAAAGGGAACTTGCAAGCCAGAAGTGTTTTAATAATTCAGTAATATGGAAGAAGTGATTTGGAAATTAAAAACTTACATGTGGTAAAAGTGACTTTGGAGATTCAAGAATCTACACTGACATCAGTGTTTCCCCTACATGGCACCACATGTGTCAGTTTTATCGGGCTGCCACAGAATCATAAATAATGAAAATGTCATTATGACACCGTAAATCAAATCATAAAGCTGCACCAAATGGCACGATTGGAGAAAAAACACTGCTGTCAGGGATCTTGTGGAGATACGTTTGACAAGGCTGAAAAGTAGATATTAAGAAGTGTTTTTAACAGCCACTTTCATCCCTTTAAAGACATAATTATTAGTGCAGTTAAGTAGAGTCATATGAGTACACTACACTCATCTTTTTGAACAGTATTTTAGCCAATGCCAAATCATAGCAGGTGTCTTGTAATAAACAACACATTCCCCAGCCTACAACACCAATACTTTAAACCATATGAAGACAGCTTACAGCCTGGATTCAAAGCTTACTGGTAGCTGAAATTGCAGCTGCTGCGATTAGACCCCACAGAACTAAAATTTCATGCAGAGCTGATGAAGTTCAATAACCGGAATACACAAATACCCAGAGGTCAGGCTTAAAGCATATGGTGTCTCTTTGGACAGAACCAATAATTATTAGAGCACCAACAAGCTGATAAACAGCAAGCATTTGGGGCTGTAATTAGAGCCCCACCGATATTCCAGTTTTAAAGCCGATGCCAATTTTTAGAGAGGGTAAATTCACTGATTACCAATATGGCAGCATATATAGTGAATTTTCGAGCTGGAATGAAAATAGACCATTTCGATGTGGATTGTGCACAGAATTTGCAACAGCTGTTAACTAACTTTATTAAAGAATATTTAAGTTAAATATTCTTTAACATGTTAAACAATAAATCATCAACCAATAAGAGGCTTTGCTGAGAGTACTTCCTCTCTCTTACTTTGTGCTTCTTGTCACAGTATTGTAAATTGCAGTGCATTCTGCTGGATAGATTTTGCAGCGACACCGATACAACATCTTTTTTTAAAGATATTTTTGGGGCCTTTCATGCTTCTACTTGACAGGCCAGCTGAAGATATACAGGAAAGGGGGTAAAGAGAGAGGGGGGAACGACACGCAGCAAAGGGCCACAGGCCTGAACCAAACTCGGCCGCTGTGGTGAGGACCCAGCCCACAGGGTTATTACAGAGTAACATGATGATGATGATGATGATGATGATGATGATAATTATCGTTGGTATTATGGTAGCATTCTTCCTCAGGTAGATGACATAGAAATCAGTTAATTTTTGCATGGATTCAGCAGAGGTAAATCCACATTTCATATGAGTTAGTGTCCTGCAGGGGTCTCTTACCGCCAAATGTATGGACTTTAATGCAACGATACAATAATTTTATTGCACTCCTGTCTCCATAAATCTGTAGATATACATTTACTTCCTGTGTGCAGCACTCCTGGGAGTATAAATCCTCGAGATAAGCTTCCTCTCTGATGGGTTGTGCTGCTGCTGCTTTAAGGAGATTGTTTTTTTTCAAGACATTGACAGAAGACAGCGTCCAGTGTAAATATTTTGAGTATGATCAGACCAGAGAAATTATTTGCCTCACAGAAAGAAAATTACAGGAAGGGTTTATCAAACATACATCTCCATTCTTGTATACATAGCTTCAGATAAGCTTGTGTAGTATGGTCACAAACAAATAAACAGACAATAAAGCTGGAGTCTTTACTTTTGAAGAACATTCATTTACCTTGTCAGTAGCAATTGACCTATCTGAAGTTCCACCTGATCTTAGTGTTGCTACCTCAAACATTTTATCGACAACAAACAATCCCTTTAGCAACCTACCACGGTATATAATTGATAGTTGCATGGACAGACTGATGCAGACTCTAATTCAACTAGAGTGCAGACGTCCGCCAAGGTCCCCTGTCCTCTGTCTGCTGCTGTTGTGATTCACTGCTTGCAGGTACCGCTTGTAGAGAGAAGAGGGGCTGGTTTGGAGGGAGGGCTGTCGTCTCAGCCAGTAGCCCAATTTTCATAGCAGACTAAAATAAACATACAGCTCCTGCACCCGTAGCTCAACGGAGTGGAGTTAAGGGACAGCGGACGGTGGCTGTACTGCGCATGAATACTTCACGATTCAAAACAACTGTACAACTGCACTTGTTTCTTCACCATGTTGTTGTTCATCTGTTCTAGTAGGCGTTCTTCTTCTATGGAATTTAATACTTGTAGGCTGAATGCTGCCTCTTATGTTCTGGAAGAATTGCATCCCTGGTACCGATGGCATTGACTTGGTACCAAAGTAACGGCTCTTATGAAGACCCTGCTTTACTAGTAACTAGGCTGCATTATTTATTCTTAAGGAATAACAAGAACGTGTTTTAAAAACTCACCTGATGTGTGGGTTGAGGTTAGGCAAAAAGGATGAAATGGTGAAAGCGAGATAAGTGAGAGAGCTAATGTAATGTTTTTAAGCTCTGACAGGATCAGAGATATCATGTAATTTCACCCTCTGATGGAGAGGATAGGAGGGAAGCCTGTTTCTGTATCATGTTGGTACATGAGCTAATCCACATTTCAAGTGCCTGCGCGTGTGGAGGAGTGTGTAGCAACAGTTGGCAGTAAAATGGATTGACTTAATTAAAGTAAAAAGTAATGTCCATCTCCACTGGTTTGCTGAAAGAGTGTCATGCAGTGTATCAGAGTGTGTGCATGTGTACGTCATAGTAGATAGAAAAGAGTTTGTTCACTGCAATCAAATGAGCTCTGAGTCAGAGGTTTTCTCTCCCTCCCCACACATCTCATCCCTCTCCTCTCTCATTTGTCTTTGCTCGATGCATTGATGTCTTCCCTATTACCTCTGATTTGGCTTGTCTGGTTGTGAATACCTAATCATGCTGAAGATGTCACACTTTCATTCCTTGAAGGCTTTATTCTTTATCCCTCTCCTTTCCTCTCATCTCATCGTTTGTGTCACACTTATTCCTTGCTGAGAGGGGTGGTGTGTGCCATATACAGTTCATACAAACATTTAAAAAAAGCCCATGTGTGTCATAACCTTCTTTGCTCACCCACCCACACTCAGACACACATCTGTGCACCTGTTTTGTAGAAAATGAATTATTAAGGGATTTCTTTTTGCCCATAAGAACAGACAATCCAACACCCTTATTTAATCATTGATTTGTTTTTTCAGATATTCCCTCAATTACTCTGATAGGCTTGTCTGGTTTCATTCAGAGCTTTTAAAATTAACTTAATGCTTCGATATTGTTCACTAAGACTATCCTCAATTTCAAGCTCCTAACATGTCTTTTGTTTCTTTTAAGACAGCGCTGAATGTCTAGACACCCGTCGTCCACATCAAACAAACCCCGCGGCTGCTTCAGAATAAGGTAGGACAAACATCCCTCTTCCTTTTGCCGACAGTACACACACACACACACACACACACACACACACACACACACACACACACACACACACACACACACACACACCCCATTCCTTTTATTCCCCACCAGTCGATGTACTGGGGGATCCGCTGCCCTTGGGGTTGATCTTAAGGCCTTGGTTAGGGGGCTACAGCTGTTTTATGGAAAATGTACTGAAAGTCACTTAGTTGCTAAGTTACAGGGGACAATAGCAACAGTACACTGTCATCCCTATCAGAGGGAGTGTTTTTCAGAGGAAAAACATCCTTTGAATTTTCATGGCCTGCTGAGAGTTTCTGTGTGTGAAAAAAAAAAGGAATTATATTTGAGATATTTGATCATAGATTAGGTATTACCTTACATAAATTATATCTATCTGTAAGAAAGAAGTTGTGAACTCTGGTGACCTTTGTAGTACATTCAGGATACTTCCCTCTCTCTCACTGTCTTGTGTGTCTAGAACTATTCCAGATGCAACAGCACTATAAACCTTGCACAGAGAATATGAATACAGCCCTATTTTTCAGATTTTGTTCTTTTAAACCAACTGGGATGAAGCCTATTTGATTTGCATGTGGTCCTTTGAAGTGCAGTGCCTTGTGATTGTCTTGTGTCAAGGGAACTGAGGCAGTGATACATGATATCTGGTAGGCAATGATTGCATCTGTCTCCCTCTCACATAAGTGAGAGAATCGTGCAGTTAGTCCATGCATGTGGATGTGTGTTTGTGAGTGCTAGCTGCAAGTGTTCTCAAAGCGTTTGACACATCTTATTACCAAAGTCTGATGTCTTACTTCTTTCATTTTTAAATTTCTTTGCCTTATGAATTCGCTGTAATATACATGTCGTCTGGATTTGGGTGTGGGGATGTTTATTTTAACATGAGTCGCACTTTTCAAATGTGTCTGTAATTCAGTACTGCCCCCATAAACCACTTGTTCACGTTATCGAATTGTTGTGTTTTTGTTACCTTAGAAGGAACCTTTTCATATCTACAGACGCCACAGGTAGCCTTCCATGTTTCAATGCCCAGAACAGACAAACTGAACACTGGTTCTATGTACGGCCGTTTGCTTTTTCCACACTCTAGTTTCTCCTTGGAAGGGGAGAGTGAAGCGAGGGAGTTGTAATCTGCAAATACACTGCTAGATGCTACTAAATCCTACAAACTGAATTCTTGAATTTCCCTCAGGATAAATAAAGTATCTATCTACCTACCTACCTACCTACCTACCTACCTACCTACCTACCTACACTGGTCCTTTAAAAAAATATCAACATCTCTTGCCATTTCTTGTCTTTTATCTTATTACCGTTTTCATTTTCTGACTTAGGAAAGCCAAAAAGGTGCCACACCTCTGATTTTAAACAGGTGCATCCTCAATTTCTTTGTCTTTCTTAATGCCTTGATACTAGGGAAGTTCCTGCCGACTAATTTCCCTCGTGAAATTGATAGAAAATAGTCAAAAGTGAGCACAGTTTATTTTAAATGTGTCAGAAGAAATATCGCCTGTAGTTTAACAGCCATTTAAAAACATTTGTAATCAAAAGATAATAAAAGCCTGAGCGGGATTACAGCATCTGTGGGTTGGGACCATCAACATGTAAAAGATGGATGTCATGTCTCCACTTCCTCCCACAGTACAGAAATTAAGCAAAAATATCCCGGATATGGTCGCTGCCATCTTGCACTGATAACATCACTGCGTAGTGATCGGGCTTGGTGCTGCGGTATCGAATTCCCGCTCATCGGAATCAGCTGTCAATTGTGATGTGAAACTCTCTTTTTATAGCTTATAAGAACTACCTAAAATGCCAGGACCATCTTTGTGGGTAATTGGATTTTTTAGTTTGGCCCCATGTCCCATCTGCTAATATGGAAGCAGCAGGCTTTATGATCTATACTGCAGTCAGCCACCAGGGGGCAATCAAGATGTTTTGGCTTCACTTTTGGAGAGCTGTCATGTTGTTCATCGTCATATCTATGTCGATGGTTGGGACAGTAACTGAAAAATGTTTAAACAACTAGTCGACTAATTGCGTACCTACTTGATGCAGCTACTGACGCGAGTGAAATAGGACGTGGAAGAAGCAAAGTCAAAAGTAGATAACGCCTTCTGCTGTTTAAAAATCACAATTTATTTTTCATCTAACAGGGTCTTCAAACATTTTCTCAAGCTAAAACTCAGTGCCAGGCTACATCGTGCTTGTATTTATTAATTGAACTGAACTAAAATGTCCAGCTCAGTACATATTTAGTTTTCAGCTCTTTAATGTAAATCAGATATTGCTATTCATAGGTTCAATTCAAAAGTGTCTGTTCCAGTATCATTTGGGATATGATTGGGGTGTCCCAAATTTTCTTCTAACGTATAAAAATAATTTAGAAACTGTTCCTCTGAATTTAATCATCAAAATTGAAGACCATAACAGAAACCTATCCAGTAACTTAAAGCGTGTAACCAAGAATGTGGGTCTTTAAATTTATTTAGACATCTGTTTAATTTTTTTTAAAAGGGTTGTTAAGTCTCTGTCTTAAATAATCTTATTTTAGTTGCTGGGTGTGTGCTAGCTCAAAGAGCTGATTGTGCGCCACAGTCAACTGACCCACTACCCCCACCCTCTCTCTCTCTCTCTCTCTCTTCCTGTTTCTGAGGTGTCACTGACTGCAGAACCACAGGAACAGGCTTGAGGGAGACTGTCTGAATTCTTTTCCTCTCTTTTCACTTTTGCCCTCTTTTTTAATCTCCTCAAGCATATGCTCTCACACAAAGCTGGTATTCTCTCTCTTAACTGCTCATCGTGTCACACTTTTGCTTGCCAGGAGACAGTGGGTGGGCATCTACGGTCTTGTGGGTGCAAATACATCTATAAGTATCTCTTTATCTTAACACCCCAAACCACCACTTCCACCATGTGCCATGATCCACCCCTCTGTGTGGCAAAACTTGTAAACAGCTATTCATCTAAAATAGTGCAAGTGGTAGAAAGGGGTCTTTTTTTCCTTGTTTCTTATTTCCTTTGGTCATGTGCAGGGTTTTCCCTGCCATTATACAGTTTAGGCGCAGTGCTCAAGTGTTTTTGCAATACTTATACTGATACATATAATTATATGTTGATTATTTTTCTCAAGCTACTTCATCCAAATGCCTATGGATATGGTAAAAAAATATTTTACCACATAAGCTTTTTCATAAGCTAATTGTTTATAAGCTTAAATTACTGATGTGATATGAATCCAAATGAACTGGGAGAATGAGACTATTACAGATATTGTAATATGTTGGTGTTGTGAAGCAGGAATAATACTTTCTGCGTATGTGAGGGTCCTCTAGGGTCCGTGTAACCTAAATTTCATTATCATAGGGTGTATAAGTAGGCTCTCCGTGGACATCCATGTACCAACAATTTGTTGTGACCTTACATTTGGGCCAGACAGTAGTATAAACAGAACTACTGCGCTACCATGGTGTCGACAGCTGTCCTTAAATGCATCCGATTGGCATTATATTTGATCCTTGAGAACTACAGAAGCACTCTGTCCACTCTGATTGTGTAGTGGTGATACAGAGTGAGGTTCTCCCCTCACAAACAGTCTTTGGGTGAGTAAAGACACCGACTGCAGAGAGCGCACAAACCCAACAACAGACAAGTTTATTTTGACGTGTTATCATGTTACACACTGAGTTACCGGTGCAGACAAATCATTTTTCACATTCACACACATATTTAGTGAAATGCTGCACTGCAGAGCTGCAACACCAGCAGGCTGAGGTGTACAAAATACAGTACATGATCAAAATATGCCCAGATTGATACTGAGCCTTAGGATCATATCAGGACTCTATTTGTTTATGTTTTTAACATTTAAGATAGGCAGTTGGATTTAAGCTGTTTTAAAAAAAAAACAACAACAGTGGAGTACCAGTCACGATCATACTATATATTCTGTGTGCATAAAAGCAAAAGATAATGCATTCAGTGTTTTTTTATTTATAGTGTGACTAAACTGAGAGAACATTTTTATCTCACATTTGAGCAAGAAAATAATGATTTTCATTTTGTCCATAACTGCAGCCTTGCTTCTAATAGTTGGTTACATTAGCATAGAATTGTTTTCAGCACAATCAAAACATAAATGTATGTGGTCCCCTGGTACTGGCTCTCACGAGTTGTCTCAGGGTGCATTTTAGAGTAGCAAAAGCAGTAGTGCGTCAAGGACTCGCTGACGTAAATTCACTTCCACAGTGGTGGCCTCTGTGTACCCAAGTCCTTTGTGGTGCTTTGTTTGTGCATTGTTTCTGCCACTTCACATTGTAGTGCCTGCAGTACCATCACATCTGCATGATGTGGAGAGGCTTGTGGAGTGTTTATTTGTTTCAATATCCCTGCAGGAGTCTGCTTTTTAATAGTGCATGAGCGGCTTCATACCTCTACTAAATTAACACTCTAGTGGTGTTTTTGTAATGTCTCTTATTCTACTTCGCTGTTTGCATTTTCAATTTCACTGTCCTCTTCTAACACCACTCTTTTCCATTTATCAATTTGTCGCCTTTTCTTCTCTCTCTCTCTCTCACTCTGTTTCTGTGGAAGTCATCTCAACCTCTCCCCTTCTATCACTATGCTGCCCACTTGGGAGCTGGAGTGCATTTGCTAGGATGTTTACGCATATCACTGATAAATTGTTTGGCTTGATCTCGGAGAGCAGGCCTGCTATTAGAATGGTTTATCTGATTTGATGTTGGAGAAGCAAATTTGTCATTATTTTTATGTAATTAGAAAGGATTCCCATGGGTCGACTTTTCATTTATACAGTGTTCCTGAAACTCTATGCATGTTGGATTGTTATTTGCCATCTTCTTTTTCTTGTTTTGAGTAAACATGAACCCATGCATTTCCACAGTAAAGAAAGCTTTATGATTTCATCCTTTCCTTTTTTTTTTTTCGTCACTTACTTAGTC